CTATGTAGTGAGACCCTATCTCAAAAAACCAAAATAAGTAAATAAATAATAAAAAAATAAAAGCAACGTTGAAGTCCTGGTGCAAGAGGAAAAAAAACAAATTATAGATACTGACTTTTATTCTTTGAATTAAAGGGAAATAGACATAATGTTCACAGGAAGCTGGGATACCTGTAAGTAGCTTAGGTATCTAGGAGAAAGCAACCATACAGAACTCCAACTATAAAATCACTAAGTACTTACTAAGTACATAGTAATTCAAGGTGATTAATTTCCAAGAATGAAACAAAACACTAATCATGATCGCCAAAAAGAATCACATAGACGACCCTGAGACTTGCGTGCGACAGATTCTAGCATGTTTTATAACAGAAGGGTTTCCTAGAACAAGATATTTTTCAGCCGGAGAAGCTGCAAATAACTAGAGACAGTTTGGAAATCAGCCCTAGGAAGAGGGTTGCTGTGGAGGACCACCTGGCGACTCTCCTTGAGGAGCGGTTGTCTCCACTTCGGCTGAGCCTGGCCCTGTCTCCATGTACTGACATGCATAGAGCTGGCTGGGACTTTTCCTTGTCTCTTCAACCGGCTTTAAGCAGGGCACATCCGTTCAGCCGAGGTGCTGATGGCAGTCTTTGAAGGCAGCAGGCAGTGTTTCCCCAGCCCCCCCCATTTTTCCCTTGTGTGAGCCGGGATGAAGAGCCAGCACTCCACCGCTCTCTGGGAGAGGCTGTGACTTCCTGAGGCGTGAAAGATTACACATCAGAGCTGAAGCACTGACCCCAAAGCATTAGACACTATCTCCATTGTGTTATACAGGTTACTCTCTCTGCAGGTCCTTCTCTCTGCATTTGCAGAGGGGATTTCAGGCCTCCTACCTAGCCCAGCTCAGGGCACTCACCTGCTTTTCACAGTTCTCACACTTGCTCATCCTCAAGCCACTCCCGTCTTCATGAAAGAATAAAACCTGGGTTGAGCCCTGGGTTGAGGGCTTTGTTCCGGATGGCCATCATCACGGCTGGACTCAGGACCCCTTGGCTCCCCATAACTAAAATATGTCTTAGTGTCTTTGTGCTCCCTGTGGGGTTGCACTGGATGGGGTAGATCGGAATTAACGCACTGGAATTCCAATGACCTTTCATGGGATCGCACATGTAAACCTCCTGGGCCTCAAGGAAGACTGGGAAGGGTCCTCGATAGTTGGTGCTCAACATGGCTGGAACTCAAGACCTTCTGACCATGATGACCACTGTCCAGGATCAGGTGCTGGCAATCCATGGACCTTGCACGACCAATTTCGAGGCTCTTGTCAGGCTGGCTTTTGATTCTCTGTATATTTTGGTAGAGATTTGTGCAGACACCTCGGTCATTCTGTAAAGCAATTTGCCCCCTCCTAGCCTTCCAATGCCTCCTTTTCTGCCCCTCATTTTAGGGATCCACTGTCCTGTCTTTTCATATTGTCTGAGTCTTCCAAGTTATCTTCCTGGTTCTTCCTCTTTTAGGCTTGTCTTTCCCTCCTTGAACCCAGCATTTCTCAAACGGTGGAAATTCTGAGGAAGGAGCTCCCCTAGTTTCATGAGTTTGAGAAATGCAGTATCGGGCACCTTTCAGGATTCCAATGTGCACTGTGAATCTTCGAAACAGGAAATACGGCTTGCAGTAGTATCCACGATTAATTAGCTATGGACCCCTGCCTTCTCAACAAGTAATAACGCCTCGTGGGACCTAGTTCTTTAATCAGAAGCATCCAGCACTTCAGTAGCTTTTTTTTAGCACTGGAACTGGACCAGGGCCTTCACACTGAGGTACATCCTCAGCCCTTTTCTACTTTTTATTTTGAGACAGATTCTACTAAGTTGCTGAGTTGTCCAGGCTGGGCTTGAAGTTGTGATCCTCCTGCCTCAGCCTCCCAGAGTGCTGGGGTTCCAGGTGCATATCACCACTTCAGTAAACCGTCTGAGTGGAAAACATGTCGCATGCTGTCTCTGCTAGACTGTCACATCTTTGAAGGAAGAGGCTTCTTTTTTGAAACCTTACCAGATCTCTGGTATGTGTTAGACCTCGAGGTTCTGCCCATCTCTTGTGTCCTGGACCGAGAACACTGGGTACCACCACCCTCTTGCAGTAGGCTCGCCGACGCCTGTGGAGGAAGAAGAATTTTCAGGACTCACCAGTGAGGGTTTCTTAGAGATTTAAAACATACTCAAGAGCAGGGTGCAGCCGCTCAGAGAAAGGAGACGTGCTGCAATTAGGACCTGGGGGCGTTTATACCTCTCTTGAAGGGATGCAAAGTCCAAGGAAAGGCCCCCACCACAGGGGTATTAGCCCATTCTGCAGCTGTGGGTGTTTATTTAAAAAAATAGATAATGCGAACATTCTTTGAGTTCGCTCGACCTGTTGCTTTATCTTGCGATCATGCTCCGTTCTTCATTTTCTCAATGAAGACAATTTAGGGACTTTTAGTTTCCTAAGGAGTTTTAAGTGTGATCGGTCAGGCAGAAAAGGAGTCTGAACTTAACCAAAAGAATACCAATTTTCATCACTTTGTGTAACTTTGGCTGGATCCTGGAAGTTGTGGTGTTTGTTTGTTTGTTTTTTGAGACAGGGTTTCACTCTATAGTGCAGGTTGGCCTTAAACTTGCT